GTGCTTGATCGCGAACTAACGAGAGAAATTGAATATACAGCGAGCTCTGTGATGATGTATGTTGTATATGGGATTACGCGGCAGGAGAATTTAATACTAATTTTGTACTATGTTCACTATAAACCAAGTATATTTTGTATAAGGATCTTTGGAGTTACAATTTCCGGAGCACGTGCGCTTCGCGCCGAGACTCGAGAGAGAGTGCTAGTCAAGCGCGAGCCGAGCGCTGTTCGGAGCGCGCTAACGTTAGTCGCCGCATGCGCGTTCCCCGCGCGCGCATATCCGTAGATCGTCGCGCGTACTACGGATCGATGTTTCTTTTCTCTTATACGTGTAGATGAAAATGGGTATCTCTCAACTTAAGACCTATTTGGATATTTACAAACAATAAAATGACAACGCATCGAGCCTCAAAACAAGCATTTTTCTAATCGCCTAAAGCGCGCCAGGCCGTTAAGCGAAATGCCGACTTGTCGTCTAACAGGCTGAATTTTTCAGGCCATTAGACTATATCGTCGTCGATTAGCCTAACGGGCGGCATTTAGCTAAACGCCTAGGCTTTTAGCTAAATGACTAATTTCGCTATCGGGCTACGACATATATATATCTTCTCTTGTCATTAACTTTCTTCTAGGAAAATTATTAAACGATATACATATAAGGTAAGAAGTACAATAATTAAACTGGTACTACTTTCAATTAAGAACTATTGTAATAAATTATAAATAGAATTCACACGAATACATCGCAAAGTAAGCTCATTGCTTTATCCATTAATCAAGTAATTGACAAAACAGATGTCATAAATACATGCCTGTGAAACGAATTATGATACTACGTGTTTAATATAACCTACAGATACGACACGCAACTAGTTTTTGTCGTTGCTCTGTAAAAGTCATATCGTTACGTATTCATTTGCTTATGTGATAAATTTAATTTAGCAATAACTTGCAAATATGGTGTCTATAAACTGAAATCATCTTATCTTTATATTATGATTTAATGATGATTGTGAAAATATGAATTGCATATGAACTCACGGTTCATTTCAAAATTAAAGAAAGAAACAGCACGATTTAATATTTTAAAATGAGTATCTTCATGCATTACGATAGACTATTATATGTGATACGTGTGTGGGGAACGTTTACTGCTGTTTGGCCATTAGATTTTAGAGCTGGAAAACTTAAAGCTTTTTTTTATGACATTTTTTGGTGTATTTGCGTGGTGAATATGACAAATCAATGTTATTTACTTGTTAAAAGTATATTTCCGGTACATTTCGATCAAAAAGATTTTGATATAATAAAAATAGTGGTGGAATTGATATTCAGTGCAGAAGCACTTTTTAATTGTCTCTATTGTAGAATACGAAGACAACAGTTACAGGTTAATATTGCAGTTTGATTATTAGACATATGCAGTATAATAACTAATTTATAGTAAATTAAAAGTCAGAGCAGATTAATGATAATGTTTTATTTTATTGACACTTTTTATTCACTTGATGCGTATTAAGTTATTGAAAAAAGTACAAAATAAAATTATTATTTGTAATGTAAAATTTTTTATTTTCTGTCTTGTCTCCAAGTTAAAAATTGTTTTTTGTATACAAATATTCACGTTGTTGCATTCAAACAATATGTTTTACAAATACATGCAATTCGATCCCTCGCTCCAATATTTAATTCTTACTTTTTGATTTATATTTACACATTACTTTACATGAAACTTTGCATTGTTTGACGAATTTATTTTATCTTATTATTATACATAATGTGATGTCAAAGCAACTCAAATGGTCTTGCAGAAGTTGTTGTTCGACATTGAACAATGTGCTCAAACTTGGACGCCTTACGAAAAAACTATGAGGGAGAAATTTATGCGTAAGACGTATGCGATATACCTTTCTTTAGCAACGATATATATTACGGGCGCATTGTTGTTCCTCCTTTTGCCAGTATTAACAGATAGCATTTTGCCACTCAACGTCGTGTATCCTTTTTCAATATCTAAGTTTTGGATTTATTGCGTAGCTTACGCGATGAACACGTTTTCCATTTCACAATCGTCGACTACTATAGTTGTCGATATGATAATAATTACGATATTGTGGCAAGCTGTCTTCAAATTTAAATTGTTAGGCATGCCGATGCGTTCGATGGTTACTGCCAACAAACTCCGAACCTGCATAACAACGTATCAAGATATTTGCAAGTACGTTGATATCATTTTACGATATCTTTCTAAATATTTTATTGGAGTAATTGTAATTACGAGATGTTGTACCATATTTAACCACTTGAAATACTCATTGTTCTTAATAATAGCAAATAATAAGTCAAAAACCTGATTTGAAAAGACACAAATTATAGTTGAGAAACTTATCGAAAATGTTTGAGATTTCACAAACTTTCCAATATTTTTTAAATTATTTAACATCACTTATTTTATATATATTGTATATTGATATCTACTATTTTGCTGATAATATTGTTAGTATAAAAACTGCAATTTTTATTAA